AGTTAAGTAATTAAAGAATCACAGGGCTAGTTGGAATGTATATAAGTAAGGTACTTATTGTAAATAATGTACTTAACATAAATAAATAAGATGCTGAATACCATTGCTTCTACTTTCTAAGACTTAATGGATAAAGAAAAAAAAGCAAAGGGAAAAAAAAGAAAACTTTTGAAACATAGGAAGGTCTTCTGTTGCATAACGCATTTGCTGCCAGCTGTGGCAGGTGACAACAGTGGGAGGCTCCATAAGAGCTTTTATAAACTTTATTTCATTTCGTCTTAAGTAATCTTCACCACAGCAGAGTGAGGCAATTATTGCCATTATTCCCATGTAACTGATGGTAAATCCGAGGACCACCTCTCTCACGGCTAGTCTTTGACAGAACTGAGAATTGAACCCAGGCATTGTCTGCAACTTCTGTGTCATTTCTATGACACCTTTAGATAGTGATTTCTTTCAAATGTGCTAATCAAGTAGGTTGATGTGGAAAAGAAAAGTCTCTAATGCAGGTGGGAGTGATCGGTACTAAGTGATATTATTCTCCGCTTTGTTTTCCTTGTTTTAAAAGTTATTTTTTAATTAAACAAATAACATATAAATGTATCTTAACCATATAAAGTTCAAATGATAGAGAACTTCATTTTTTCCCCACATTCAGAAGTAACTAGGTAGGTAATTTGTAGCTTATCCTTTCAAACTTTTACCATTAATTTATGTAAATGTAGGTGAATATGTATAAAGATATACAAATATGTGTTTATATACACATGTAGAATGTGTGTTTTTAGTGTAAAAATAAGATCAAACCACAGGTCATTTTTCTGTATCTTGCTATTTTACTTAATGACTCGGAGAACTTTCTGTGTCATACATTCTTTTTAACTGCTCTTTGCATAGATGTACAGTAAGTTATTTAACCATTCTGCTATTTTTATTCCACTGTCGATATTTCCTACTATGGACTGTTTTTTGGTTTTGTTATTGTTGTTTTGTTTTCCAAACAGAGATAATGCACAGAGAAAGACGCACGAGGAAGGCCGCGTGCTGGTTTTGGCAGAGGCTGAAGAAACACAGCTGTAAACCAGGGAGCGTGAATGCCAAGGACAGCCAGCCAGCATCAGAAGTCACGAGAGAGGCACGGAACACTCTTTTCCCCGAGACTCCAGACAGAGCCAGCCCTGACAATCCCTCGACATGGACCTCCAATATTCAAACTGTGAGATAATAAATTTTTCTTGTTTGAAACCATACAGTGTGTGGAAATGTGTTACGGCAGCCCTAGGAAATGAACACACTGTTCCCCTATACCTTCATTAAAATTATCTCAAGAGCAACTGTGGGTTAGTTTCTAACCTGGAAAAACAGTAATATGAGTGATCAAGGTTTATCATTTATAACTTGAGAAGAAAAGTAATGTGAATAATCAGATGAAGGACTGTTTATAAGGTATTGATGATTAAAAAGGTATTGATTAGTTTGACTCTTAAGTTCTCAACTTAAGAAGAAAACTAAGTTATAGATGTAGGGCCGTTGTTACTCATTTCTTACATTTAAAATACAGGTTGTTTAGTCTTGAAGATGATTAAATTTCTGAGGAACTTTGCTTTTCTACCATCTCAATTTGATTTATTAACAATGTGACTGTAATAGCTCTCTAGTAACGTTCAGAAAGCCAACAGGAGACATGTGGAAGGGCTTGTGGGCTTTTGAGTCCAGAATCACATATTGTTCAAGCTGAAACCTGACTTCTGAAGTGCTGACTATGTGGATAAACACACTTTCTTAAGCAGCAGTTGCAAAACAGTTAATAATTTTGCCATTTGGTTCTTTAAAAACAGCAAATTACCCAGAGGTGGACTAGTAGAAATATCTGTTGAAACATGGCCTTTTCTTTTTCTTTCCTTTTTCACTTGTTATAGGAAAATTAGAATAAACTACGCACATATAAGATGCTACTTCTGTCTTTCTCAGCACAGTGTTATGGTTACATTTGTTGAAGATGCATATGAGTTACATACTTTGTGAATAAATAAAGTGGTACTTTCAATGTATCTCTGGGGTGAAATAGGAAAAAAACCCTGGAGCACCAAAAGGTCATCTACAATGGATGCATCACGTGAACCTCACAGCAGCCTATGTTGTTGTCTAACTCACTTTTTTACAATGAAATATCAGGAATATAGCCAAATCTTCTCTTTCTGATAAAAATAAGCTGATGAGGATTTTGTGGCTGCTTTCATAGAGTATGCATCAATATTGTATGATTGGGGTTTGGGTAAGTACAATTTGTGGGTAGAGCTTTACAAATCTTTAAGTAAATGCATTTATTTAATAATTCTACATTTTGAGTGATTTCAGTTAAACATAAAAACAAACCATCATCAAAACAGCATTAAACAATGAATATTTGTTGAATGAATAAACAGAGGTAGAAATGACTCTATTCATTACCCATTCCTGTTATCTCGGCTCACCGAGCTACCTGTTGATTATAATTCATCTTCTTCTATTGATCTGTGTTTAGCAAAAGAATGACTCCTATGGACATTCTGGCACAGCAATTATATTCCTCATAAGAACTAAAAAGTTGGCATTCTAGGTTTATTTAAAACCCTGTGAATGCTTCACTGTAGAGCTTAGCATTGTACTGAAATTTGGTAGACACCTAATATATGTTAATGAACATTCCCTGCTTCAGTCTAGGTTACCATTCCATTTAGACTATGTACCAGAGAAGATACTCTCTGCTATGTGTCTCCCTAAAAATTCACATTCTGAATCCTAATCCCCAAAGGGATGGTGTTAGAAGCTGGATCCTTTGGAAAGCGACTAGGTCATGAGGGCCCCCAGAAAAGAGGCCTCACAGAGTTCCCTAGCTCCTTCCGACATGTGACCACCCAGTGAAAAGATGATCATCTGTTAATCAGAAAGCTCTCACCAGACACCAAATCTACTGGTACAAGCTTCCCAAGCTCCAGTTTATGGTATTTTATAGAAAGGTATAACAGACTAGACACTCTCATTTTGAGAAACTGGATAAATAATAATACTAAAAATTAAAATTAAATTAAATTCTCCTGGTTGAGGGCTTATCAACCAGGAGACACAACAGATGGGTGCATGGTTATATGACTGCCCTCTTTCTTCATTCTAAATGTTCCATTTTGTACTTTAGGCAAAGCCATTTCCAGTGCAGGTATGGGTTATTGGTTCAGACTAAATTACATGGCATAGGGCTACTCCTAACATTTGTATGCAGGTAAAAATAGGTTAAAATGAAGAACTGGGAAAACTTTTTTATGGGAGAAGAAAAAGGAAAGGTGGCACAAAATTGCACAACATAATTTTGGAGAAGTGGAGAGGGGAGGATGGCCATTGTTGTTAGACAGCCCCTGCCATATGCTTACTAGGAAAGCAAGGATGGCAGGATGTGCAGATAAGCTGCTTCAGTCTTCTATAGTATTGTGCAAACCAGCTTTCCCCACTTTGCCTCTTTTTCTCTCCTGCACCAAGAATGCCCTCAGGTTTGGTTCCACATCCACCTGGTTATTGTAGCAGCCTAGATCCATAAGTGCCAGATGTCTGAATCAATCATACTTATTTGGCTTATATGAAGGAGGGTTGGTCTTGGGGAATTAGTAAAATACAATAGAAGGCTTTACAACATATAACCATGGAAGTTCAGATACTGCTGTGTTGATTGCACGCACTAAAGACAGAGTAGTGAGATGCCACATGACATCTGTTCCAACAGGGAGGAACTGTAACAGAGGAACCCTTCCCCCTTTCTGTCATGATTATATGACTTGAAAATGCTCTGAAAAACAAAAATAGGAAAATAATAACAGGGAGAATCAGATAAAGAATAACTTTTTAAAGAAGAAAAGAAAGTCAAGAGCTGCTTTGTGGACTTTGCATTGATATCACTAAGGAATAACAAGGAATATAACACACATAGTTAAGGGATATTACATCTTATACTTTCAAGTATCTTTTGCTCACTGTCAGCATGGGGCTGATTACTTGAGTCTGTCCTTCCAGACCCAGCTCACCAACAAGAGGCAGAAGCAACCTCAACTCCCACAAACACTGATTGACATCTCTCATCACAAAGATCTATACCAAAATAGGTCAAGAGACAATCTGGGGTTCTCTTCTTCTGCCAACTGGATTGTGATTTGTTTGAGATTTGTTTTTTGTTTAATCATTTTTGAGGACCGACATCTTCAAGAATGATCATGCTACCTACAAGACTTTAGGTACACAATGGACCACAAGAGGATAATCTTCTCAATATAACCTAAAAAGCACAACATTTAAATAATGGAAACCTTCATTCAACACAGCTGGGGGTAACTTTTTTTTATAGAGGATAATATTCATCAATGGGGATTGACTGTACTTAATAGTTAAAATTTGGCTAAAATAATCTGATCACATAGCAACACAGGCAAGTTATGTTCCATCAAGAAACCTAAAGGGATAGAGATATTTTAAACAGTGTGATATCCCTTATTTTAAATCCCCTTTATAGTACTCTTCACACTGTATTTTAATGTCTCTGTTCACTTTTCTGTATCTCCCTCTAAGCTCTAAGGTCCTAAAAGAAGGAACTGAGTCTCTCCCATTCTCTTCTGTATCAGAAACTAGCAGAGATGCCTGACATATTGGTGACCATCAAAACACTAGAATGAATGCTTTCATCAGTACTATATAGATCATAGCTCATACCCAGTTTCATATTCTGCACGTTGTCAACAGAACGACTAGAGAAGAAATTGTTAAGCAAATACTCAGAAAGCACTGTAAATAGGAACTCTGATCTTAGATGCTTTGAGTCAGGGCTGTAGTGGCCAGTTGGCCAGGTTGTTCATTGTACAAGATTATTCAGTCAAGAGCACAAATTTGGGCAGAAATCCAGTCCATGAACACAGCTCTGTATCTGCCCACAGGAAACAACGTCTTTTTTTTTTTTCTAACTCATACAAAGACACTGTACAGTGCTCACTTCAGCAGCACATATACTAAAGTTTCAGCAATATGGAGAAGATTAGCACGGCCTCTGCGAAAGGATGACATGCAAATTCATGAAGCGATCCATATTTTTAAAAAGCAAAAAGGATTCATGGACTTAACAGGGTGGTGATTGCTGGGGTGGGGGAGGGCAGTATAAGAGGACTAAGTAGTAATGGAAAAAGAATATAATAAAGATTAAATTAATTAAAAAATAAAGCTGCAGTAGATGAATGTATAAAGGACACTGTACAAGCTTTAAGAGACTATCCTGCTTTAAATAACTAATCTCGCGCATGTTAGATCCCAGCAATAAAAACTGTCCTACAGATCTGACTCCATTAGAAAGGGAGAAGGAAAAAGTATCATCTGATCTTGAATTGAGAACACTTTGGTTGGAGATTTTCTCTAGATTCTCAACATAGGGTGATAGAGTTATAAAACTTTTTTGCGATATAAAAGAACTGCACAGGGGAGCCTCAGCGTTCCACCTGAACCCCAGAAAATGAGCTACAGAATCAGAGATACATAAAAAACAGGAAGAAATTTGAAGGTCACAGAATTCCATTGCTAAAAGAGACTTTAGAGGTCAATCCACTAATGTCTTTATTTTACAGAAGAGAAACCCAGAGATCAAGGAGGTAAGTGATTTGCTTCAGGCTAATTAGCAAAAGTCTAGAATCTAGCTGTTTTCTGGTTCTTAATCAGAATATTTGTATTACAACTGGCTGGACTTGCCATCATAATAAAATGTGTACCTGCGTGGGACAGGTGGAGACACACAGACTTGTCACCAACAAGGGCCTTACACAATGAGGTGGAGAAAATAGGAAATAAATATCGAAAGATAAGCAATAGTATGAGGTGGATTATGAAGGGAGGTTTAGATTTGGGTTTCTGAGTGGGAGTGCTGACGCCGACCATAGGAATTGGTAGGCAGGAGGCGTGGGATGGAGTGCCCTCATGTTGGCCAACAATTCTGGAATGACTGGAAGCAGGTGACTGAGAAGGTCCAGCTGGGGCCGCAGGTGGGTCTAAGGTTACAAAACCAAAGTCAGGAGTATCCAACAACCAGGGCCCTCTCGATGCGTATCTTAATTGAACCTTTGTTCTGCTAAACCAGATTGCTAAGAACGGTGTAGGCCTCCCCGTTTCTGGTTCTGACCCCCAGGAGGGCGGGGCGAGGCAGCGGTGCGTAGAGCAGAGAAAGGAATCAGGAGAAAATTGAGAAATCGGAGGAGCGGCCGCGTGCCCTGAGCTGACTCCAAACAGCTGCCAGAGAAGGGTAAAAACTCGCCCACGACAGCGACGGAGACTCCGCTTCCGGGAGGCGCACGCGATGGGCGTGGACGGGCCGGGGGCTGAGCAACGCCTACGTCAGGCTGCGTGACAATGAGGCTGACGGCCGTACGCGTCGGCGGCGGCGGCGGCGGCCCCGGGGGGGGGGGGGGCGGAGCCAAGGTTGCTTTCGCCGCATCCCGGGTCGGGATTTGAAAGATTAAGAAGTCCCGTCGGAGAGAACGGTGGCGTTGAATGCGTGGCGGAAGCCGTGGGGACCACGGCTAGGCGAGAGGCCGGGCGGCCGGCAGCGTCTCCACAGCATGAATCACTCGGGCCTCGGGTCCCCGCGGAGCCTCGAGCATAACGGCCGGGGCAGCGGCGGCGCTGCCTGGGAGCTGGGCTCGGAGGCAGACCCAGCGTTCCGCGGTAGCGTCTGCTGCTTTGACCACCTGCCCAGTGGGGACCCGGGCGACGGCGAAGTGCCCCTGGCCCTGCTGCGCGGAGAGCCCGGGCTACACTTGGCGCCGGGCGCAGAGGATCCCAACCACCACTTGGCGCCGGACCCTTGCCTCAGTGACGAGAACTATGACTTCAGCTCCGCGGAGTCCGGCTCCTCGCTGCGCTACTACAGCGAGGGCGAGAGCGGCGGCGGCGGCAGCTCCTTGTCCCTGCAGCAATCGCCGCTGGTGCCGTCGAATTCGGGGGGCGGCGGGGCGGCTGGAGGGGGTCCAGGGGAAAGGAAGCGTCCTCGGCCCGGCGGTGTAGCCGCCAGGCACCGCTACGAAGTGGTGACGGAGCTGGGCCCGGAGGAGGTGCGCTGGTTCTACAAAGAGGACAAGAAGACCTGGAAGCCCTTCATCGGCTACGACTCCCTCCGCATCGAGCTTGCCTTCCGGACCCTGCTGAAGGCCACGGGGGGCCGACCCCAGAACGAGGACCCCGACCGTGACCATGTGTGTGGCCCGTCCTCCACCACGGGCCTGGCCTCCACCTTTGGGGAGGACGACCGGGAAGACCGCGTCTGTGGCTTCTGCCCGCGCACCGCGAGGCACGAGCCCGAGATGGAGCAGCTGGTGAACATCGAGCGGGTGTGTGTGCGGGGCGGCCTCTACGAGGTGGATGTGACCCAAGGAGAATGCTACCCGGTGTACTGGAACCGTGAGTAGCCGGCCGGGGGAGGGAGCGGGACGGGCTGCCTCTGCAGGGGCCGACACGCACCCCGGTGGGTTTGGGACCTAATCTCCGCGGAAAAGGAGGCGCCTGAGGCCTGGCGTTTGGTCTGAGCAATTAGGAGATTCTATAGGCGGCGCCGGCAGGTGAAGGGTGAACGAGCAGATGACAAAATTTAAAATACCTGGGGTCAGAAGAGGAAACCGCGGGGGTAGCACCTCCTTGGTGAGCCAGTGTTGCTGCCATCCTCTGGAGACGATCCAGGAACGGATGCCCAGCCCAAAAGGTTTAGTTTCTCGTGATTCTACCTGAGCTTTGTGCGCCGGGTATCTGATTCGGTCTCATTTACCCTCAACTGCCTATGATTTAAATAGCAGCCTGTCCTCTGGAGTGGGAATGTTTGAGAGTATCTGCTCGAGAATCAACAGTTTAGTTACAGACCAAGGAAAGAAAAATTAATCCCTGGCGGGAGAGGAAAAGAGGTTGTTCCCTCTGGGTCCGTTCAGGAGAGGTGTAAAGCAGTTCTGGCAAGTGCACCCGCCCGCTCTATGGAATACTCATTTTTCTCTTAGGCCCTTGTTTACATATTTTTATTTTTGTCATTTTTATTTTTGTCTCTTGACTTTGAAAAATTACAAGGCCTGTGCCCTGATTTCCTCATCTGTAAAATACATATATTTACCTCATAGGATTGTTGTGGAGTTTGAAGGAGAAGATAGACCTAAAGGGCTTGAAACTGCTTGGCACATACGGGTGATACATGTTAACAGTGGGCCTCTACTCATTAGATGACAACACAGTTATATATATATAATTATATTAAGGAGGAAGGCTATCAACTGTTTGCCATTGCATGTAGCAAAATATGTAGTAGATGTTGTATGGTAAAAGAAGCTGTCAGCCACCAATAATTTGTAATAATGCAGTTTCAATTTTTAGAGGCCAGTGCACTAACTCACATGTCTTCATTGATTATCACTAGCCTTAGGTTCTCCACACATACAACATTCTGCTTTGTATTAATTATATATATTGATGACTAACTTTCTTTCTATATGTTTAGCATTTTATGGGCAGAGTTCATCACCTTACCATTGAACTCTTACAGGGTTTAGTGCAGTAAATATTCAATAAATATTGAATTGCATAAATGATTGAGATAATATTAACATTCATATGTTAAGCATGAGTCACTAAAGTAGCAATTAAAACATGTGTCAAATCCGCAAATAAAGTAAGCATAGCAGGACATCTAATTTCTTGCTACACTTTAAGATGGCATGGAAGGTATTTACCCATTTCACAAGGCCAGATTCATAATGAGATCTGTCACATCACTCACTCCTTTTGACTATAAGCTTACTAAGGACAAGGTATGGAGTATTCATTCATTCATTCAGCTCTTTCATTTTACTATACAGTGCATAACCCAGTACTCTGGGGAAGATATTTGGAAAGGTGGAAAAAAGGACAGTCTTTATCCTTCAGGAGCTTCCTATTTAGTCTTTTCTTCAGATGGCCTAGACATGACTATAGATATTTTTCCTTGGAAAGTAGAAGTACAAGGACTTAGTGGAGCCAGAAAGTTGGCTAAAATTCCAAGCATCCTTTCCAAGATGGAGAAATGAATCTTACCCTTAGGTCAAAAAATAGCAATTAAAGAACTATATTCACATAGAATACTGTGTGCTTTTTTGGCTAATAATAAAATTGTTAATGCTTACATAATGCTTTACTATTTACAAAATGATTTTTCAATTCTTTTTTATATTAATATCAAGTTACTGCTAACATTCTATATCTAAAGAAGCAGGCTTATTGAAATTAATGAACTTGCCCAAAATCGTGTAGCTAGAAAGTAGTAAAGCAGTTCATAGTCTAGTGCAGTCATTGTGCAGAGAGCACCTGATCCACTGAAGGGTGAGGGTGTAGGGAAAGCTTCCCGCATAATGTAAGGCCAAGTCCTAAAGGGTTGCTTTGATCGGTCAGAAGAAATGGGAAGATGGAGGGAAAGTAATTCCAGCCATGTGGGGTAACATAAGGCAAGGACACGAAGCATAAAACTTCAGGGCATTTAAGAAAATTAGGGCTGCACAGGGTAGGCTTAGGATCTGACCACCACAGAGACAGGTATTAGTTCAGGAACAGGAAGAGCTTATGAAAGGAGCACCTGCCTGTGAATGGCACATTTGGAAGAGTAGTAAGAAAAAGAAAAGGGTGGATCCAGTGCTGAGGAGTCTAGACTCTGAGTAAAGGGGAATGAAGCAGTTGAAGGTTCTCTCTTAAGTGATTAGTGACAATACAAAGGTTGAATTGGAGAGTTGGAGGGTATCTCAGAACGCTAATATTATAAATCAAGTAAGAAACAGTGAGGACCTACAAAAGTTAACCTAAAAGGAAACTTAGTCTTCTTGAATAGCAACACCTATTTTGAAATCATTTTAGCATTTTTTAAATAGCTTTCTGCACGATAAAATCCCATGGGTGTCCCAGATCTCCATATGAGCTACAGTGAAAATATGGTAGTGCTTTTGGTCCATAATTTCCCACTGTCACAAAATCCCATACAGCTTTGATCTAATTGGTTCTTCAAGTCTCTGTGTATTATGTTTTCACACCCTCTCAGGAACGTTCATTCCCAGTATGGTCTCTTCAGCCTTTCTTGAAATGGAAGGGCTCTTAAGATACTTGTGAGCTTTTGACCATGGTCCCATTTTACTTTTTCTTTTTAAACCTTCTGGGAACTTCTAAATAATGGTAATGAACAGTTTTGTTTTGTTTTGTTTTTAAGTCCAATTTCCTACAGAGAATGGTGGAAGCATTCTAGTGGCCATTTAAACTTTTGTGACCCAATGGAGCCCAGTGCATCTGGGTGTCAAGGCCAACAAATTATCTATGTCTAGTCTAAAAGAAAGTTGTTGATTAAATTTATATTTACTCTTCATTTTGAACTCTTACTAGCACATAATATTTGAAACAATTTAGGGGTGTATGAATCAGAAGGGGTACAGAATTCATCTTCTATAGATAGGAAGCAAGTATTATATATGCAAAAGTATTAATTATGGGAAATTTTGTGTTTCACTGTTCAGATATTTTTCTGACTGCATGTGGACATTTTAGATAAAAAGTGATCATTGCTGAGTAATGACTAAGTGAACTCCCTTGCTCCCTCTGTTCTTCCTAATCTGCTTGTACCTATCTCATAGGCTTGTTTTGAGAATTATATGTAATGTGCTTAGAGTATGGATCACAGAAAACTATACCTTATTTTTACATGAAAGTTAATAAAGCTAACCAGTACAAAACTGTTCCTTATCACAGGCAAAACACTATAAAAAATATTAGCAAGAAAGTGGCCAAAGCATTTTAGTAATAGCTATGGGAAAGTATATGGAACATTATAGAGATATTTGAGGAGTTTAGAATAGTGTATAGTAATTCGGATAGTCATATGTTCTGTGTGCACTGGAGAATATGTAATATCCACTCATTGACTAAGTTTGTAAAGTTACTTGACCAAATATGTAGTTTCCAGAAGCAGTCATTAACTATAAGCTTTCTTTCCCTCCCTTTTCTGGTGTATTTATAAGACCTCTTGCATTATTATGATTCTAAACCATTTTAGGTTCCAGTTCCCTCCCTTGCTCCTCCCTTCCTTCTTTTTTTATTGATTCTAGAGAGAAGGGAAGGGATGGAGAAAGAGAGGAAGAGAATCATGGATGTGAGAGAGAAACATCAATCTGTTGCCTCCTGCCTGCACCCCCTACTCGGGACCCAACCCACAGCCCAGGCATGTGCCCTTAATTGAACCTGCAACCTTTCAGTTTGTGGGATGATGTCTAATCAACTTAGTCACACTGGCCAGGGCAGTTTCAGACACTTTAAAAATTAACTAATATTTATAATACAGGGTGGGCCAAAAGTAGGTTTACAGTTATGAGTTTATTCTTGTACTTTTTCCATATGAGCAACTATAAACCTACTTTTACCCCACCCTGTATATTGAAGAGAAGATAATATTCCCAATAAAATGAGGTATAAAAATTAGGGTGTTTTTTTTCCTGTAAGTACGCAAATTATGTGATGTTTGGCATAATGGAAATCATCTCTTAGGTCTTTTTCATTCTAGGGTTAATAACCTTAATGATTAATAACCCTTTAAGAGGTACAGGACATCATGGGAAAATAATGGAGTCCAAGCTTGAAGAAGATACTCTTTCCTGATCAGTTTCTGCCTCCAGTAAAGCAGACCTATAGGGAACAGCAACCAGATATTGGTATGCTTACTAAAAAAGTGTTGAAACTTTCATCTCTTACTCTTTTTAACTGTATTATTTCTCACTAGCCCAGACTAGAAAGCAGCTTTGAATGGCACTAGCTGCTCAGGTTTGTGGGAGCCTGGCATAATTTTCTGAGAACCTCATTCTACATCAAGCCTGCTTTAGACAGCATTTTTCATTGACCTACTGAAATAGCCCAAGGATATGAATGACTAGTGAGTGACATGTATGGAGCACAGGACTTGGTACTACCTGACCAAGGCTTTCAGGACATTACTTTCTCTTTTCAGTGTTTATTAGGTTAAAAACTCATCTGGTATCAGTTACTTGTTTGTGTGTGGCTCAGATGTAGTATTTGTATCATGCAAGTGCTATCGGTAAATGTTCAGAGCATTTAGTATGGCTTTCTTTCCTCCATTTGTTCTTCCCTCTTTCCTTACCTCTCTTACTGGATTGGGTTGTTTGGAATTCTGATTGCCCAACAGGATTTTTCTGTCAGGCAGTCCGAAGAATCTGTGGGGCAATAGACAGATGTAAAACCCTTCGGAGTGTATGGTAGGTAACACGTAAGGGTGGATTTGGTTTACCTTTGTTTTCAGATCACCTCTTACCCTACCTCAGCTCATCTCTGCCACCCCCATTTCAGTTTTTACTGGTTGTTCTAGAGAGGTAGCGTTGTGTAATGTTTATGAATGTAAATAGCCA